GCTAAATTCTCTGTATCATTTTCCCTAGCCAACCTGACAGCATTTCTGTGGAGATTTGCTTTGCAAACCACAGTCCTCACAGAGCTTTTTTTCCGTAGGCGAGATGAGGTCACCAGGAGCCGAGCTCCTGACACACACCTTGAACAAGAACAAACAGAAGATTGTAGAAAGTCTGAGGATCGTTGTGTGCAAGGGAGAACAGGGTTACTATATATATATATATTAGGTGTATATATATACATATATATATATTGTACATATCTAAGTTTGAGTCATTCAAACTAGGTGCAAAACGCTGACTTCAGATTCTGAATAAATGTCTCTGTTCCCACATTCCTGGCCTGCTTGCTGGTCAACGATGTTATGAAATCCTGAAATGACAGGAGATACATACATACAAGAAACCACATATCAGATTAGATAACATTTTCCTTTGTGTGCAAAGTCAAACTAGCCTTTGGTTGCCGGTTTGGAGCATGTTATTTTAAAAAAAAGAAAAAAAATCAATGAAATTCTCTTGTGAGAATTCTGCCTAGTTTATTCATAAGGTGTGTGCAGGACTGAATCAACTCTCCTGTGAGGTGTTGGAGGGACCGTGTTAAAGCAGTCAGGAAATGTGCTTGCTGAGTCAGGGCTTAGAAGACTCTTCCCTGAGGGCGACCGGGTCACACACACGAGGGGAAACGGCCACATGCTAAACACAGGTTATGTGCTTCAAAGCTGTTTAAAGCTGCTGCTTGTTTCACAAATCTTGCCTTTCTTCAGGCTAGCTGCAATAATTTTTTTTTCTTCTGTAAGATATTTTGTAAACAACAACAAAAAAGCTATTCTAAAAAGGGGACACAAGAACGCTGGCATTGTGATCAGGTCCACCCATTGTCATTCTCGTTTGCCACCCTGCCATTCCGCCACATGCTGCTGACTGAAGTAGGTGCAAAAGACCTTTTTGTACAGAGATATATTTTTTATGAGGACTTTGTAAAATTATTAAATATGCTGTAATTTTTTGATTAATGTAGGTAAATTGTTAAAAAATAAATGTTTTTACAATACAAAACTGTAATTTTCCCAATAATGTAAAATGTACCATCTCTAGCTGATTTTCAGTTCCAATCCTATTATACATGTATTAATATTAAAGCGATCTGTTAAAATGAACAGTATCTTTTTTTTGGTCAAAAAAAATTATAAAGAGAGTGTAATATAGCCTGTGCAATGCCACCTATCTTTAAAGCAAATCAGAATTCTAATTAAATATTTAATTTTAGATTTCTATTTCTTGTGTGGATTTATTTTCGCTTGAATACACGTGTTGAAGTTTGTTGTGCGGGAGGAAAAGAATTGTGTTAGTAAGAAGCCCTTGTTGTGCTTGGAATGAGGCTCAATATTTTCCCAAGACATTATCACCATCATGATTAATAAATAGCACAGTGCTAATGAACCATGACAACAGCACAATAACGCTGAAGCCGACGGCTTTCTTAACAAACCAGGAAGCCCAAACCTGTTGCCGTCCAGTGGATTCCGACTCATACAGTTTGCATTAAAAACAATGATGGCTTTTACTTTCCTCCAAACCCAAATCCAGCTTGTATTTTCATGAATTTTGTTTTTAATGTGGGAGCTGCTTCTGTAAGTTTTCACAACACCACACATGACACATATGAAAGTTGTCAGCATATTTAATAAATCATTAAAAATATTACACTTAAAAGAAGACCAAAAAAAAAAAAATCTCTGATATGCCTTTAAAATTCAGGACCAGCTGTCCTCCATTCATTTCCGGGCTGAGAGGAAACAGAATACAAGTCCTTAGTCGCCATCAAGCTGAAGGTCTTGCAGTTGAACAGAATGATATACTAATTTTCCTGAGAGTCAAGTTATTACACAATAAAAAACGACCAATAATAAAAATAGTTCCAGTGTGGCTTTAAAGTAAAAAAGCTTTTTAACATCCAACGTAGAGTTTGGGTCTCTTTGAGTCAGCAGTTAGAGGCCATTTACTGAGGACCTACTGCGTACAAGACACTCTGCTAGGTGGCTTGCATACATTGCTAACAATCTTCACGCTCTAGCAAATTGGGTTTTCATTTTATAGATGAGCAAGTTGCAACTCAGAGAAGTTAGTCAATTCTCCCAAGGATACACAACAAGGCAAAACAAATTAGAGTTCAGTTTTGTCTTGTTTTAACAGTCTTCTTTTTCACTAAAATGTCACATTACGTTAATCAATTTTTTTCAATTAAACGTTATCTCTCATTGTAACTATGAATCTTTTCTTTTTTGGTATCATTTGGTAAAGTCACCGCAAGATAAGAAATCTAGGAGAAGTGAATACTTCATCTCAATTAGCTTTTAGGTGTCCACAGTCACTCACATTCTATGTTCCCAAGAAGTATGTATCAAGTTAACTTGAAATCGTGTGGGTCTTTGTCTAGCATAGTGAAATCTTATGAGAGTTTTACTTTCACTTTATCTATCTACCGATGGATGTGAAGACTGATCGGGAATTAATACTTAGCCTCACAAACCTGTCTCATATGACTAAAGTATTTACTACAGGCAGGATGTCCTGCAGTGAGGAGGTCCTCACATATTTGTTGAATTTGAGTCAAATACATCAAGGTCTCTCACACTCGATGCTCTGACCCTTTTCTTGAAGAACTGAGAATTGTATACAGACTCAGTGAGCAGAGTAACATGGGCCAGAGGGCCCGGCAAGGCCACACACCGTGATGCTGCAGTTCTGTTTCCAGCAATGGTTCTTTACAATAATAAATAAATCTACTTCCTCTTTGCCTTTTTTTGGAGTTCTTCCATATGATTATATGGTGTTTTGGTTTACTGGAGCTCTGGTGGTACAGCGTTTAAGAGCTCGGCTGCTAACCAAAAGGTCGGCAGTTTGAATCCGTGAGCCACTCCTTGGAAACCCTATGGGGCAGTTCTACTCTGTCCTATAGGGCCTCTATAGTCAGAGTCGAACCCATGGCAACTGTTTTTTGTTTGTTTTTTGTTTACTAAATAAGACAAAGTAGGCAAGAATAATGTCATCTACAGTTCTGGATATATGTTG